TCTACCTCTCGCCTTAGAGACCATGAGCTCCCAGAAGGCTAAAATAGTATGCCCTTTATTTTTGAAATCCTGGTGCCTGATATGTGGGTTGACATACAGTAAACAGTCAACAGATGTTGGTTGAACCGGTGAATGAACTGTATATACTTATGTTTCTTTATATGTCAAATGAAGGAGTTAGGCAAGATTGGTGTATTTTAAATTTGCAAAACTTGAAGAAGCAGTTTCTTTCAGTCAAAAATTTAAGAGAAGAACAAATATCTTATTCAGAAAAGGAAGAAAATGCTCTATTAGAAGAACCGGATTTCAGAAACTTGTCCACTTGACTTCGCCTCTTAGAATAAAGTACTGGCAGGTGCAGCGATACAATCCAAACAACTCGCCCCAAGATCATGATGGTTAATTTCCTTCGCGGCTACAATGGTGTCATTTGGTGAAATTCATTCTTTTCAAACGTTTTTAAAATTTGAACATTTTTGAAAGAATTTTTCTAAAATGTAAAAACATATAGACTGGGCTCCCTAAAAAACACAGCATAGCAATCCCTTAACTGACTTTCCCCCTAATGACTCGGCCTTCATTAGGAACACTGAGTGTTTCAGTGAACCGAATCCACGAAGGTGTTGTTATGACATATTTATTTTCCTGCATCTTTCCTGTCTGTCTGTTGTCATTTCTCTGGCTGTCAGTATTTCTGACCTAATAGCTCCCTTAGCTAATCTCCTCTCCTCAAAGCCCCTGTGCCCTAAATTTTCTTCTTTTAGTACACTGTGAGCCCAACTAATAGAAAATAAAGTTTATTTAGTGGTGTATGTTCACAAAAGAATGAGTAGGATTTGAGAAAGTCAAGGGCTTTGATATCCAACACCCTTCCCAATCCTATTGGAGAATTACCTTATTTCGTCCTCATGAAGAAACTCTATAATGGTTTCTCTTATCCTTCTCACATTATGAGGCAACCAAGACATAGAGGGGTGGATTAAATTCCCAAAGTCACACAAATGGAAAAGGTACAGCCTTTGACCATCTCCATGATTCCATGACCCAGTCTCTCTTTTATTCCTAATATTTTTATTTGATTTTCATTTTCCCCATTATGGAGTAAAATATTTACATTTAATTCAAAAAGTGTTCATTGAATTATTCACCATGTGTGAAGTTAACAAATATTTACCACTGACGATAACTTTCCAGAACAGCTGTAATTTCTTCATGCTTCTAAACTATAACATCTTTGTGAGAGAATTAAACAAACAAACAAACAAACAAGGAGAAGAAGAATAAAATGATAAAAAAAAAAAAGAGTTTTCCAGGCTGGGTGTGATGGCTCAAGCCTATAATCCTAGAATGCTGGGAGGCGGAAGCAGGTGGATCACCTGAGCTGAATAGTTAGAGACCAGCATAAGCAAGAGGAAGATCCTCTCTTTACCAATATGTGAAAAAAAAAAAAAAAAAAAAAGCAGGGTATGGTGGCCAACACCTGGAGTCCCAGCTACTGGGGAGGCTGAGGCAAGAGAATTGCTTGAGATCAAGAGTTTGAGGTTGCTGTGAGCCATGCTTCCATGGAACCCTACCCAGAGTGACAGTGAAACTCTGTCTCAATAAATAAATAAATAAATAAATAAATAAAAAATTAAAAATAAATAAATGAATGAATAAACAAATAAATAATTTTCCAGAGCAGCTGCTTTCTGAACACCTCCTCTGAGTACAGATGATGCTTCAGTAGCGAGTGAGGCTTCCTAAATGCTGTTCTCTGAGGCTAATGCTTTCATCCTCAGAACTTTCAGCAGCAGATTCTAAATAGTCCAGGCCCCTACGCAAGTTTTCAAGACAGGCAAGGCACTTTTATACAAGCCATTTCTGAAATCTCCATTTTTTAAAAAAGCGTTTGTTAGTTCTGGGTTATTAGACAAAATACCATTTGTCTTTGTAGACTGTGGTCTGAATGACTGTCATCGGAGACTTCCAGGGATGGTTTTTTCAGGATAATTGAAATCAAGTTTGAATGTACTGACTATAGGTAAGAAGTGGATCTTTTCAATCAATTTGAATCTATTCCAAAGAGTTTTTCGAGGAAGTGAAATCCCCGGGGCTATTAATGATACATCAAGAAAGAAGGTGAATCCAAAGTACGTTTTCTCCAGTTTTGAGAACATTACTGTGATTCCTCTTGTCCCAAGGAGCCAAAGGATGAATTCCTTCTAGTTATATGGATATCTCATTACTTTATGTCTGTAAATTACTGTACACTGGTTATTGTTGGCTCATCAGATTAAGACACAATCAGAACATCTCATTTGTAAATGGAACATTGATCAGCTTTTTACTTCTGACCACAAGTTTTTCTCCCCAGGGACACCACTGGTACAGTGAGTCAGGCAGCCTTCAATAAACCAGTCTGGGGACCTGAGCCTGTGCGCCCTCAAGACAGTGTCACCTTTGCTTGCTTGGATGCCTGGTTTATGAAACTGCAACAGGTTCTACCTGATCAAGAATCCTGTTTGACCAAAAAGTAATTTCAGAGTCGAAGATTAAGAAATTAAACGCTTAGCTGTGGACTCAAGGTTTCCAATGCACACTTCTCTCCCACCAGAAAAGGTAGTATTTTTTCTCTTTTCCTCACCACTGCCCACCCTGAAGTTGTCTACTTCCCCTCAGGGGACTCCCAGAGCTTCTGTCTGTCAAGGGGCAGAATTCAGAATTAGAGAGAGGGTAGGAGGCGACTTTTCGGGCGGGGTGGGGGACATGTGGGCAGCCAAGGGCCAGCTCATTCGCTCTCTTTTCCCAGCCCGGGAGGGCGTTGCGCCTGGGCGGAGAGCTCGCGCCAGCCCAGTCCGGCCCTGGCCTCCTGACCCAGACAGCCTCGGGCGCTAGGGAGCGCGGCCGAGCCCGGGTCCCGCCGTCCCCCGCCCAGGGGCTGCCCGCCAAGAGTTCGAGGCCTCCCTGATCCGGATGTGATGAAAAGGAGCAACGGAGGGAGAAGTGTGGGAGTGTAGGAGTGGTGCAAGGGGCGAGAGAGAGGCAGAGGGGGGAAAAGTCCCCTCGGAGGGGAACTGGCCCGAGTGAGCTGGCTGGAGAGAGGGGGCGGAGTGCGCGGAGTCGGAGGAGCTGCCGCTGCCGCAGTTGCCGCCACTGCTGCGTCTGGGCTGAACCGGAGGGAGGCGGGGAGGGACGCGCAGGGGCGGCCGCCGCCGCCGTCAGGCCACCGGGGCGACATGCGGCGGGTGCCCGAGCCTCGCTAACTTCCCGGGCGGAAGAGGAGGAGGAGAAAGAGGCTGTGAGCGACTGGGGATGCCGAGGTAGGTGGGGGTCTCCGGGCCAGGAAGAGCAGAGGGTTGACCCCCCACGCCCGAGCCTCTCCCAGCACGTCTCTGCCCTGCACCCGCCCCGCTGGGTCCCCCGCTGCGACCCCACCTCCCCGGGACCCCACCGCTGTCAACTTGTCCTGGAACAGTTTTTCTCGCTAGTTTCAAATCAAAACTTCCCCGGGGTGGAGTTTGGGGGAGGGAATGTCCCGCGGGGTGGCAGGGGTGGCGCGCGCCTCTC